CCGGAGGTTGAATATCGATATTCAGCGCCGTAAGAGTTCGGCATCGTCGATGTATTCGCCAAAAGCGTCGATCAGCGATATTTGCATTTTGTCGACAACAAGCCTGACACGTCGAGGAAATCCGACACGCTTAGGAAATCGTCTCCGCCGCGAGCGGAAATTCCAAATAATGTTGCAAGCGCTGATAATCGCGACGCTTTGTTAAATAATCGATTAATCGCGAATTTAATGTCTAAACGTGTAAGGTAAATGTACCAATGCCGAGACACTTAAGACCTATGTCTGGACATCTTTATCATTTTAGTTTTTAAATAAGTATAACGCGAATTAAAATCAATGATAAAAAAAATAATACAAGAAAAATATTTTTATCTTTGATTCTTTGAATTTAATTCGCATTATAATTTATTTAAGGACTAAAATGATAAAAATGTTCAGACATAGGTACGTGTCCATGCAGGCATTGGTATACATTTACCTTAGATACTTTTTCTAATTGCGAATACTTCGTAATACGACAATGATTCTGTTAGTACGATTGCTCGGAAGTTGAGACATCCCGAAGCTGTGGAAACGGGTCATCTTTTGTTCAGGACATCGCTTCCTCCCCAGCCTCCAACAGAATAAATTCACAGCGTCCGGTCTCTCACGGTTACACGTGTAAGACGCGATCGTGACGCGGACGTTCGCTCGCTTAGGCGAACGGCTAGCGAAATTGTTGACTACCGATGCTCATCGGACCGAATCAACGTTCACGAGGTAATGGACGTGGCTGATGGCAATGTCTTGTCGCGTCGCGGCTCGTCGACGCCACCTGCGACAGCGGGAAAACCTCACAGGGGCACACTTTGCGCAGATTTACGTGGTAATGCTGCTCATCGACGTCTTTAAATACCCGTTTAATTTTCTAAAGTGGAATACGCGTTGTGGAATACAAGTTGTATCGCTCGCTTTCCCTCGGTTGAAGTTGCTCGCTCTCTTTTTTTTTTCCTTCTTTTTCTAAACTCTGACATGAACGATTGATCTGACATGAACGCTGTTAAAAATTAAACCGACACACTACGCTGCGGCCTCGTTAAGAAATGAGTTTAGATTTAGACGAATAATACGGCCATTTTCATGTTTATTGCGCTTTAATTGCGCTTGCACGTCATCGTAAGTGTGTAGTACAACGCGAAACCGCGTTTGCAGAAAAATTAATATTCAAAGGGAATATCGCAAGGTGGTAATCTGCGAGAGAATTAAAGGCTCGGTAGCCGGGATAGAGATCTTCGTGCAGTCACAGCTCGTTTGAGCGAGTGCCTCAAGTGATTTCAGTTACACCTCGTTTGCGCGATCTACCAGCGGCTCTTATTATTTCCTTTCGAACGAGGAAGCGGGTTTTTTCAATTGTACCGCGCCGCAGTGATGGATCGCAATTGCGGGCCTGATGGCGACGGATAACATTGTACGATCGTCAATCCACGGTACTATACAGGATCTGTGATAATAAGTCAGCTAGTTGCGCGATGGAGTCTACGTAATTATAAATGTTTCGCAACTGAACATGCGATATTTAGGGTGGTACAATAACATCCCCTCGATCAAACACGATTTCAACGTAATACACAATCGTGATATAATACAATTCGAATCATTAATTAAATCGGACCAGACTGGAAATGGCCTATGCTAATTTAGGAATGTCACTAATTTAGCGCGTCCTTCTTCTTTATTCGCATCGTTATTCTTTCGCGAAAATAACGCGCGGGAGCTTCGGAAATATACGCGTAAATTTACTTTCTAATAGATCTTCCACTCGGACGCCTTTGGCTCCTGGGGTCGTGTTTATCCGGCGTAGAGGTGGAATTACGAGCGAAAAGAACGGGAGATAGCGAATAAATCACGAACCACGGCTCTTCCACGTTATGCTAATGACACCTCCTGCATCCTGTGTATCCTTCGCGCAAGACGCGAAAGTTCAGGTCGGCACGCCACGCGGCGTCGGCGTCGTTCTTCTTTTTACGGGACTCTGAGTAACACACCTCCTTGACGCAATTGCAGGAAATAAAACACTCTCCCTCGACATTTCTCTACGTTCAACCCGGCGCAAGTCTTTATCGCAGCGTCGGCTGAATCGTAACCAGAAATAACAAAAGATTATTTGGCAGCTTGAATATCGATTCACATCCCTTGTATAGCGAATTACTAACGCCCTAAGATATTTTAGAATAGGAAAAGAACATTTCTTTCAGTTTAACAATTTGCTCAGCGTTGTGTCATTGTCGCCTTATCTTCCTGCTATCTGTCCAACATTGTTCGTCAAAGTCTTTATGCACGATTGTCATCGCGGGTGTATTCATCGCGGATCATATTCATCGCGTACGAGGGTTTCCGCTCGTCACACCGCGAAGCGTCGCACGATCACGAATTCATGACTAATGCTGGCAATCGGGCAAGCCAAGCCGACCGATGTGCACGTCGGGCACGAGTAAAAGCAACAGGACTGATCAACAGGCGAAGACACGCGCCATCGAGCACGCGCCGATAGATCTGACATCTCGACGCCCGACGCCATACACGTGACCGGAGGCTCGTTACCCGGCCATCCTCCTCGCTCCTTCCACCTCCGGTTATACCCCACCTCTTCCCTCCATCACCCTGTGGTCTCTTCCCGTCGGAAGACACGCGCCCGACGTCTCCCCCGATTTCCCAGAATCGACCTTCGGGAGATCGAATCGCGCCGCACCGCTGAATCCGGACGACCCACCGCGAACGTTCACGAGAGTTTCGTGAATCGGTCGACGCGGATCCTCTGGCTTCCTCTCTTCCGATATCTCCCTCTTTCCTCCCGCAAATTCACCATGTCGAGATGGATGGCGAAGTTAAGAAGCACGGACGGAGATGGTGAAATCTGTTAATACTCGTAACCCTCGTGTCTGCACGATTATCTGCGGTAGAACGATCGATGGTCGATGAGCCGGGATATCTAGCTCTCTAAACGGACCTAATTGCTATCTCTTCGACATTCGCATTTCGCTTTAAGTATTAAGAAATGGGCAAAGTACTGCATGTTACAGCAATTATATAAATTTAATAAATTTTATATTCAATTGCAACGCGTTATCAACGTAACAACGATCGAGCCAATTAAAGTGAGTTCAAAGGCCGCAGCCTTATTAACACTCGCCACAAATACTGGTGAGACACGAGTGTCAGATCCCGGGTGAGATGCTGGCATCTCGAAATCCTATCTTAATAACAAAATCGCGCCGTCGCTCCCAGCGGGCGACCGACCCCGCGGCTCGACTCGGCCGAACTCGGTTCAGCGCGACGGAAAGGGAAAAATTTGGGCCAGGGAAGCGTGCTTAAAGAGGACTCCTTCGCATACCAGGCGGCAGCGAGAGAGGATCCCACGGGAGAGAAGAGAGACCGGAGTTGGGCCGGGGAAGAGGAGACGAGAGGAGAGAGGAACCCGGCCGCGACGCCGCCGCCGCGCCACGACGGCTACTAAATATTGTGTTCGCGCAGAGAATACAGCTCTCGGGACACGTGTAAACGGGGGACCGCGGGATTCCGTATGAGCAGATCGGCCCGCCGATTATACGCTAATTCAACGCAAATTCCTTCCCGGAGATATCTGTATCGCCCGCATACATCAGCGGAGCTTCTGCCGTTGCTGCCGCTGCCGTTGCTGTTCCCGCTCCTGCTTTCGCTGCCGTTGCTGCCGCTGCTGCTGCTGCTGCTTCTCCTGTTCTCCTCCTCGGCCCCCGGAACCGCCCGCGGTTCCCTACGCCGCGGCCGGCTTAATCAGTATCCACGGAAGACAACTATATAGCCGTGGCTTATACATAGTTTCGCGCACATGTGGCGTGCACACGTCGTCACAGAGACATTGGGTCCCACGGAAGGAGGACCGATGAAAGTTGGGAAGAAACTCCCGTTGTGTTGAGCTACGAAGAGAGCATCTTGAATAATCAGAATAATTCTGGGAGTTTTTTGCTAACGAAGTTTATTTTTGGACGCGCGACATATACGTGACGAAACTTCATTCAGATTGAATAAAAAATTATACATCGTAGAACCTTAGAAACTTTTATGAAGGCCGGTCTGTTTGCATTATATCGAGCTGCGAACAATATAACGACATTGTCCAGCATTAAGCATCGCGCGGCTCCGACTGCTGTAACCGTCATGGTTGATGGTCATCTCGCATCTCGTCTGTAATCATGTTAGCGCTACGACGCGCTTACAGCCGCGTATTAATTAAGACTCTAATTAGTACAAAAATTAAATACATATGTATGTCAACCAACAATTGATACCGAAATGAAAAAGAGAAAAAGAGAGAGAGAGAAGATGGAAATTCTAAATGCGCCGTAAGTCGCGGACCACTTTTCCACCGAACCATTCGATGCGTCATGTTTACGAAGAAGACTACGGCGCGTAGCTACGTTGTGGAAAGCATATAGTCGATCTCGGCGGTACTTGGACCGCGTGCTTTCTCACGCGCGCGCGGTTTTACACCCGGATCGTTCTGAAGAAAGTTACGCCGCGCGCCGCGCCGGCGGGAAAAGAAGCAGGCTACCGTATATCCGCGGTATGCACCTATACTCGGACCGAAGGTCCGGGGCAGAGGGCCGAAGATATATCACGTTGTCGGCCGACATACCATTCTTTTGCGGCGTGGCGCGCGGCCGACACCGCGCGGCAGCAGCATTCACAAATTAAGGAGAGCCAAAGTCCACGGCGGCGCGGCGTAGGTATGGCGCTATCGCGCTTCATAAAACTTCGTTAGCACGAAGCCGGGGGAAGTAGACGTCCGAGCCCGGCCACGGGTATATATACCCACATAAGCGCTGATGGTCCCGCGAGACCACCGTAAAAATTCATTTTGCACCTCGGCCGTGTAATTCAGCCGGATTCTTGCATCTTCACCAGCCGGACCAGCAGCGGAGCGTATTAGATGGGTCCATGTCCGCGCACTTCGCAGTTAATGACTTCGCTCGGCCTGTCGTCGCGCTATGTGCGGTACGTTTAATAATTGTACAGCGACAGCGCGCCCTTAATTATTCGTATTATCCGTATGCGTAAATTCCATCCTCTTTTCTGCGCTCTGCTCTTCGTCATCCGTAATGTATAAAGAGCGTTACTATGGTAAAAACTAATGATACATTGCGCAAAAAAGATTTCGGTTTACATGGAGAATTGAAATTTTAGCTTCAATACTTTTCATTCTCATCGCTATAAGCCAATCGTTTTCTCAACACACGTAGCAGTCAAATTCGATTGATCAGAGAGTATACCATATTCTCTTTTTGTTATTCGCGCCACGTGGCGACGCATAATGTCGCGCGAGTGTCATGTCTCGATACGTTCGTCGTTCATTAATTTTTTCCGCGAAGACCGCGCATATAAAATGAAAGAGTTGTACACAAGGTATACCTACGCCCTCGTACAGAGAACCGCCACGTGTATCTTCATACATACACCCGCTCGCGCGGGCGGGCTCGCGCGTGGTTCCCGTCATTAGGTACGTAGCCTCGTTAGAATGAACTTTTTTTTTCGTCGTCCGCTAATGAGGTGGTCCGCGACTTGCAGTCCGCCGCCGCGCCGCGCCGTGCGGAGGGTTATACGTGGCAGCCGGCCTCAGGTCGAGGGCAGCTTCTATGACGCTCCCGCGCGAATCCGGAGAGACGGAAACACTATTTTTAATCTACCCGCGGGACGCTCGATGGAATTAAAACGCATGTCTCGCTACGAAAGCTTGCTTATTTTGCCGCCCCTACGCGAAAAACGTGTATCCCTTTTAGAGCACACCTCCCCGAATCATGGGTTCATGAGAATGTCGCGTTAATAGTTGATGTCGCGCGGCGGTTCGGTGATTAATTTTGGGCGTTAATTTTGGCTGCTGAACTGAAGTTCGTACGGTCACACTCGGATATGTATACATTCAACAATTCAATGTGCAATGTAGGATAGAATGCTGCTAGAATAATCAAAGCAAGATTCTGTCGCGAGATTCTTGGCAGCATTATTAATCGCACATATAAAATTATGTGTATTCTCAGGAAATTAGTTTCAAATAGATGACTTGTACACAATTAATTATTTACTATTCGTTATTACTCGTTGAAAAGTTCTGTTCACGCATATCTCCAATCTGTCCACACATTTTGTAATACGGTCTAAATATCATCCAACACGTTTATTATTCTTACTCTGAATCTCGCTAGCGATATATTTTATCGCCCTCGCTATTTTATTCAAATAGCGGTGGTATCTATTTCAGAAAATATTTACTATTTTCTTCTACTAGAATCAGGCTAAATGTTTTTCTCTCTCTCTTTCTCTTCTCTTCTTTCTCCGACTCATCGAAGCGTCTAAGTGGAAGTAACTGAAGCTCGATCTGTTTGCTCTTACCGGGTTTCCTCGAGCCGCACTAACTCCTCCGCACTCCGGCTGTAATCGACTGCCAGTCGAGATCTTCCTCTCTCGAGTGCGCTCCGGCGCGGACGACGGTTCCCATTCATCCAGCTCGTCCCGGTTGACACCCGGCCGTTGCCGTCGCTTAATTCGCGAATATTTCACCGGCGCGTCACCCCGAAAATACACTACAGCTGCTCGCGTCGTGTCTACAATCGGGGGCCACCTTCGGCACACCCCGCCGAAAAGTCCGCAGCCGTGCTATAAATCTCGACGCTTGATACATTTTTACTTATCACGTTCCCACATCGCGCGTCTTCCTCGCGGTCTCGCATTACTCGCGCGATAATCCCGCACCGCTGCCGTCGTGTGCGATTTAAACGACCGACGAACGAATTATCACCTCGCCTTTCTTCGTGCGTGTTGCAGACGGCTTTACACTGGGGCGCCAAACACGGGGACGAGAACATCGTTAAATTAATAGCAGGCACCTACAGAGACTACATCAAAAGTGTCAATGAGACCACGGTGAGTGTCCTTTTTCTGACAATGAGATTGCTATATAGATGAAATATTTGTTAATAAAATCAGTGCGCGTGAACATTATAAAATGTAAGAGCGATAGTTTACGTATAGAATATCGAAGCGATTGTTCGATTTTACATTATTACTCGAACAATAATGTAAGACCGAAAATCAACTTAATCTTTCACATTTTTTGTTTCCGACTACTGGATACCTCCATCGGATGATGCAGAATGGGGTAAGTGTCTTACTTTCCATCTATTGATTGATATCTTTTTAAGTAATAATATCGCGACAATTAGATTAGCAATTAATTCATATATCAAAAAATAACGTCTCCTTTAATGAATCTTATTTCTTAATCGTCGATGACTTCTATATCGAGATTAAGACGAAGCGTATCCTAAATACCTTTGGATAACATCGAGAAAGAGCGAATATCCGCGGCGGCCCTTGTCACGATCGCGTATAATTTGCCAGACGTACGGAGAGCAGGATCGGTTTAGGGGGCGAGTTGTGTTGTAAGAGGTAGAACAAACGGAGACTCAGTCCAAGCGTAGCAGAAAGGAAGGAAGGCAGGAAGGAAAGGGAAAGGAGAGAGACGGCCGAAGCACACAGAAAAGCCCGCAGATAGGATCGGATGTGTGTGGTCCCGCCGCTCTTTGCTCTTTATAAGACTTATATAAGGCGGGAGTGCTCCGCGACGAGAGACGGCGTGCGACGAGGGAGGCGAGTACTTAGAGGAGAGAAGAGGGAAAACGGGGTCTTTGCTCGTTAGCGGTTCGCGACAAACTCCGTCTCGGACTCCTGCCCTCGCGTTATACTGGACAACAAAGTTATTTCGATTTTCTGTCATGGATATTGCATTGGGCGAGGCTGCCAGTATTCTTTGTCATTTTAAAACCAATTGAGTTTTTAGTTTTTTCTCTTCTATTACGTGTTTTGACGCAATGTGTCGTTATAATTTTTTAAAACTGTAAATTATTATATTAGGCGTAATGGGAATATATATAACGATTTTACGACAAATAAAAATATCCGACATTGTCGTTTTGAGCAATCAGAAGGAATTTACTTAGCTCGTTTAATTTTTTCGTCTATCGTTCCGTCATTAGATGGAAATTGAATTCGAAGCGCGTGTATTCCGAAAGCCGGTTCATTTATCTTCTTGTAAGGTCTTCACCGTAGCTCCTTCGCGCACGGTAGACTCATTTGTTTCTGCCGGTGTAATCCGAACTGACCTGTCGACACCGCAGCACACCTTTTCTTCCTCGCCTCTAAATCCCACGTTCTTCTACAGTTCGCTGTCATCCGTTGAGAGTTCTCTCAACTATAGAGACCCTATCGATGAAAAAAACCAGGAATCTTTATACGCTTCGATTATTTTCAATCTGTACAATAAAATCGGAAATTAAATTTTCGTAAATGATCTGAAAAATATAAAGCAGAGGAATTCGATAACAGCAGAAATCATAAGTATACAAAAGATTCCTTTAATACAGAAACATTATGCGCCAGACATCGCTATTTTCGTACCTTCCCAATGACAATCCCGGCTGACTCGATGTTGCCGGGGATTAGCGCCGGATATAATGAATACGGTCGTGCTCGTGTACGTACCGATGTAGAGTAGGTAATCCACACCCGGACGAGGGAGATCTGTCCTCGGCGAATCCTCGCTCTGCTTTTTTCCACGGCGTGGCTTTAGGACCAGACTGCGGATCGCGCGGCGCGGCGTAATCTGTCACCGGCATCGCTCCCGCGCGCCGCGCTTTCCTACGGCTTATCCCGGGCACCGGCTTTCCCCCAATCCCGTGGCAAATGAAAGGACGGTAGGAAACGAGTAAAAAAAAAAGGATCTCCGCGAGATTACCCGGTAGCTCCGTAAGGCGCGCGGAATCGCCCGTGGCACGGCGGCCGATCTCATCCACGGTTTAATATCTGCCACTCGCGGGCATCGATACCGGTTCGTTCGACGGGATTGCCGGAAACCTGAAAAGTCAGTAAATTACAAAGAGTACGATAATGGGAAATAATAAAAAATAATAATGATTCGAGAAATAAAAAAGGATTATTCTCCATCATATATGTACATGTATACATACTCGAATTTGTGCGTTGCAATTTTCATCGGTTCTCTTTGAATTTCTGCGCTATTTAAAACATTATTTTATCCGGGAATTAACGCGAAGCTGCACAGTTTCGTGTCTCACGCAAGTTTGGAATTTTCGGCGTAATGAAATGTTTCTCACTGCAACAAGCACCGAGCGATCTTGACTGATGATGCTTTTAGTGTGAAAAATCATAGCGCGAGCGGGCGGCTTTTTCGGACGGTCGGTTTCGTTGGCGAAAGAACTCCGACCCGCTTATCGTAAGAATTCGCCGCGGTTCCGCTGCCGCTTACCAATTCTTTTTTTAAATCCTCGGTCGGCGTTAAATAAAACGGGCGCGCCGGGGCCTCGACGACGAAGCGGATCGCAGTCACGGGCATAATCTGTCACCGGTACCGCTTCTACCTTGCTTTTCTACGGCTTATCGCGGCATCGGCTCGCATTTAATCCCCGCAAAAAACGGTGGCCACGTTCCCCTCCCCCTCCCCGTGCCCCGTCTCCACAGGGGACTCCCGGTAAGCCGACCGTGTGGCGCCTGCATCCTTGCCCGGCGCACGACGGCCAACGACAATGGTCATTCTATCCTCAGTTAGGGCTTCGTAGATGCGTCTGGAATCTGCCTCGTGCAACCGGTGATCCATTTCGGAGTATAATCCCTGATTAGAATTGATAGTTCGAAATAGATAAGTCAATCGACGGGAAATTATTATAATTAATAATATAAGAAAAATTATCTGTCGCGTATTTTTATGAGCTACTGAAACTCGGATCGTCAAAGTTGAAGAAGAAAAAGAAATGGACTAATACTTAAGTAAACTGTCAGATAAGAGGCCTAATCTTCAGAAATCGAGTTTTAGTTCATCCGATTAGTCTCGTGTTCGTGTTCCAGTTCTGTATCTTTATCGCAATACATTACGTAAAAATTATGTATTTCTCGTTTCTCTGAATTGGCTCACAGTAGATTTGAATCATCGAAATATACGAGATATATAAAAAATGTCTACACAATGGATTGCGGAAAAACGATATTGCTTTCCTGCCGATTTTCGAGCGGGCCCACGTCGGAGAACGAGATATCCTCGCTTCCTCCCCCGTTTTCTTCACCCTTCCAGAGTAGGCGGGGGGGGATGGAGAAGCGCCGTTATGATATAGCGGCTCGTAAAGGCGGCCCGATGTAGGAAAATATTAAAATTGAAAATCCTCAACGGTGATATACGCGTGCGTGATATTGGTGGCCGGCAGCTGTCCTATTCTTGAAGGCTGCAAGGACGAGAAAGAGAAAAACGAAGAGGTAAGAGGCAGAAAAAGGGACATGTTACGCGCGAGTAGGCGCGCTCGAGAGGAAAAACAGACAGAGACGAGGAAGACGGAGACGAAGTGGCGGTAGGGGCGCGATATTGTCTCGAGACTCCGTGTGCCAGGACATTGCTACTTTAAAATATCATCGCGAGCATAAAAAGGGGGTCCTCCGCGTGCACGTATCCACGTACAGGGTGTTTCATAAATCACCCGCTTTCTGAATGTAGAATTCAATGCCAGTAAATCTAGACGACTAAATCTTTAGATTTTATAATCATTGAAACGTTCTGCTTTTGAAAATATCCCGATTCAAATTGTAATCTGAAATAAAATCCAAAAAGTTGAAAGTGCTTTGAAAGTATAAAGTTATCTGTTTGCATGAAATAAAAAATTCTTTGAAATTCTCTTCTAGTTCGGAGGTTATATTCGAGCGTTTAAGTAACCAGTTTCTCAGAGTCTACGAATCACGAGGAGCGCCGTTGCTTTTGCGACACCTCGTACATGCATATCCGTATCACGAAAAGGGATGCGCGAGAGGGTGCGTGCGTGAGCCTGGCAAAGGGTGTGTCGTGCCACTTGTCGCGAGGACACACGTGTCGCATGCTATTGGAGTTGGCAAAAGGGTGACGCGCGAAGTCCACCCCATATACGCGCCGTTTTCTATATGCGACTGTGTATATGCGTCGTGACTTTTTCGCTCGTATACCTATAGTCACGAGGATTTTAAAGTGAAATAAATTAGAAATTTCGAGGGGGGGTGAGCGCCGCGCGAGCAACCAACCCCTTCTCTCCTTCGGCACGGCGTGCCTCGTCGAGGGTGAACGTTGAACGTGGAGGGTGCGTCCCGCGTTTCGATAACTACGATCGCGGTTTTGACACATTTGTCACTATCGTTTATTGCGCTGTTCGATATTAAACGCCACGATATACAGTCGAGCGTCGTTTCATGAACTCAGTCACGGGGACGATTTTTTAATCGCGCTTCCGTATAGCGCGGGCCAAATGTCGCGCTCAGCCGCGTATCTCGAGGGTGATTTTAATTGAGGGTAAAAGCATTATACAGATTCAAATCGGCCCTTTCGTTACGCATTTTTTTTTCGCCACAGGCTTCACAGCCGACGACACACATATAGCTGTAATACGATTATGCATGCCGCACAAGTATAATTAAAACGAACCATACTGCATCCGTGAATTCAACCTGCGAAAATCTTTTCCTGTAATTTATTCTTTTCTCTTGATTTAATCTCTCGAGAGACTCCAAGGTAAAATTTTTGTTTCGTAGTTTCCTAATGTAAGAGTAGGATCACAGAAGCTTATTCAAAAAGTATCTTGTTTTACATATATGTCATATGGTGAATACAGAGTTAAAAAAAATATAGGGTGCAACGGTATTTCGCTACGTTCCCAGACGCACCTGTTTTTTTTCCCTTCTTCACGCGCTTCCTTCTTCGAATATGTCCCGCATATTTTACACGTATAAAACGCTCTTTTAAGGCAGCTCGTCTGCGTTTTCACCTCCGCTGGATAATGACTCGCGCACGCACACAATTACGCGCAATTTGTCGCACTTATCGACGCGAGCATCGTGAACCGCGGCGGTTGTACATGGTACAACGTGGCTCTTTCACAAACGCTAGCCCACGGCAAGAATACACGATGTCCCTGACCGGCCACGGTTACTTTTCACCATGGATACCGTCTGCGAATTGGCCGAGGCGAAGCGTGTTCGCGAGACCGTCGAACGATGAATAAATAACTTTTCAATGGAAAACAATTGATGTGATGACGCATCGTTTGCAGTTGTGCTCAAGAGTGTTGAAACCTACTACGGTCAGGCGAGTTTTAATTTCTTTTGTCATTCGTAGGGCTATCGCGCCGCTCGCGTGTTCGTTCGAAGATCAATTCTTGAATTTCGATTTGTCATTCGAAAGGGGCGAAGCTGTTTATAGACACCGTACATATATCAGCAGCTTCGCGTTTTGCATACCTTAATCCAAGGCCGCGCTATGCGGTCGGGCTGCTCTTGGCTGATCGGCTTTCAGCGACTTTTATCTAAATTAAACCAGTTTTCCCCTCAGCAAAAGAGGTACAGCAGCGACGCGGGCATTAGCTGATGCTATACGATCGCGCAGCACGAGATTTAAATTTAATTTGGCTCTAGAAGGATAGAGATACTTTATTTGTGAATGTAGACATAAAACGTAGAGGAAAGCGATTTTCTCGTCGATATCCAGTGTAAAGACATGCAGCGCAAATAATTTCGGCGATTATAATATATAATATTTCGCTGCGATGAATTATCACTTCATAGACCTTATCGGATTCACTTATAACTATCGCAATGCTACTACGCATTAAAGTGGATCATCGGCTCGCGATCGAATGCACGTATTGTATTACCTTGGTAAAAGCGAACGAGAGCCATCGGGGCGGCAGCTGTTGCCTGACACGCGAGCTGGAAAAGCAGCTCTTTTCACCTGCCTGCCCAACTCGAACGATACTAATTGTGAGATAACGCCTTCTTAATATTTCTGCCCTCGCAACAAATGGTGCGCGTACAGCGCGATACCCCGAAGACCTTGACGTGTCGTATGCCACGATGAAAACGTAAGCAGGCCCCACTTAACATTTTACGTTTGCAGATTAGTTTGATATTATCTCTTAATGAAATGGTGTTCCTTAATAAAGATACCTCGTACCAAAATAGTACCGTGTATCATGAAAAGAAACATGTCCGCGGATTGATATTTGTCCGTACCGTTATTTTTCACTTGCTTACGTTACATATCGAGGGTCTCGTATCATTTAATGGCTTGGTTTAATTAAATTCATGTTAAGGTCTATCGTCCGCTCATTTATATGTACGATCGATTTATATGTAATATATCTAAAGTCACGCACACGTTCTGCTAACTCACAGATTGATCAGCGAACTCTTGTCGAGAAGTAATTTCGACTTATCGGATTATCGAACCTCGCTTCTTAAACGTTAAACATCGCGCTAATTATAGCTCTGATTAAAATGTGTCTCGAAATCCATTCGAGATTAATCGACGGACAATCTGTTATTCATCTGCCTGCGGCAGATCGCGTTCGGACAGGAATATGAAGATTCGTTTAAGAGCCGGATGAAAATGCCATGCGTGCAAGGCGATAGAGGCGATGCACGCGAGGCTAGTTTTCGCGGCATCGCCGTTTCCCTTACACACGCACGTACGCGCACGCACGTAAGTACGTGATTGTTTCGGATCGCGCTGTTGTCGCGGAAATGCGAATTCGCACGCTCGAGGTGATATTCATAATACGGTGCCATTAATTACTCATTGTCTCTGCGACGGCACCGCTATCATCCCCCTTTTCTTTCCGCGTCTCGCTCCCATCGTCGCTGTCTCACTCGTAAATGCACGTCACGCATTCGAGCAAATCGTAATAAGATATACAACGCGCGAGGAGAGAGGTGTGATACGGTCCCTCCCTGTTATTTTTCCTTATTACAATTTCCTTTCAGCCAGAGAAAGAATGAAAGAGATTGGCGTATCCTTTTCGTGAAACGGCGCCGGAAACGACGGACAGTGCAGAGGGATACGCGTGTACAATTAGAAATACATTATTCATTAAACTGTAGACCGAATGCGTTTATAAGTATATTAATAACGCGCATCCCCCTTGCGTCAACGTGAAAGCACGTGAACATTGTATTCGCGTGATATTACATGCTCGCCAAACGAGAATATCATTCGTCTTTTAATTTGCCCAATTATCGATATGCTGCTCTCCTTATTTCTGGACGGGATTAATATATATATATATGCGCGTTTAAACGCCTCTGTGTTTAGTGGCGGAAAGATCGGAGGATATGCTTATATTTATTCTTTATAAATAAGCTATCGAAAACATGTAGTACATCAAGCTGTTGTCGTTTTTAGGGCTACACGCCGCTGCATATCGCCATGCAATTCGGCCACGAGAACATATTCAACCTCTTAGTTCAAGTATACGGTGAGTATGCATTGTACAGCCTCACCGAGAGGCAAAAACCCCGTAATGATCGCATCTTGACGGATCTTAAAAATATATTTTCAGGCGCGAATCAGGACATACGTGATTACAGCGGTAGGAAAGCCAGGCAGTATCTGGCCTCGCAAGAGGCGGCAGTCAGTCAGGACACGTTTCACAGTAAGTACATTTCTTTCTATGAACGAAGAACGCCACTTAGAGAAACGAAACGCAATTTTTGTACATATAATCCACGGAGAATTGCGTTTGCGTAGATATTTTGAGATATTCCTTATAATTTGTTCAATAAATACGAAATTAATGTCTCCAATTCGCGCGTTGCGAATTAATGGCATCTTCATGAGCCTATTTTGGTAATCTTTAACTGCAAGCTGTACAAAGCGAGCTTCTCGGCCGCCTTCGAGAATGCACCACAAACGTCATTTTCGTTTGTTTGTCGATTTAACGAAAGCAGCTTAATTCGTGTTGACGAACAAGATCACGAGGATGTTTTGTAAATTATTCATATCAGCCTTCCCCCTTTTCCCCGCGTCTCGCATTCGCGACGAAATCGCAGCAAAAGTTTGACCGTGGGATATTAAAATATTTTTTTTCGCGTTTTATAAAAATCCTTTTTTCTCCACGTGTTGTTATCAAGCGAGACATTGTTTATCTCACGCTATGGAAACGGGCCGTAGAAAGAAAGCAGTTTTGCATAACGCGAATACAAAAGACATAATTGCCGACTGGAAAAGTTCTTTTAAAGGAATTCTCTGATCCCGTGCCAAACGCGCCCCGACCACCGTCGTCGCCGTGAAACCAATTACGCTCCGTACTACACTATAATTTACACCGCTTGTGTCAGTGTGAGAGTCCCGTCAAAGTTCCGTTGCTTCCCGTTGTATCCCGTGTCGATCATTGTTCACCGTTCTCCAGCTCGTTTTCGTGACGTTTGCCTGTCACGCTCCAGCACGATCCGTTAACAGCCCGATTCCGCCTAATCGTCGAAGAATGCATGCGATGCGGCAACGATACCGTCGGCACTCTACGAGCTATAATATTCTCAAACTAGATACACCGCGTGCTTACATCTGGACCTTATCTTAACGTCGCTATTTCTTCGTATCGCTAAACTTCGCACGTCCATTAGCACACTTGCCATGGTACTCTTACTACTACGATTAATTCTCAGCAGCATGTACCGTTACCAATAATATAGCACAGATAACAATGCATCCTCAGGCTATGTAGGATATCTCTCTGTCGCTTTAGACTAGACGCTTCTTTAGATTTAAGGTGTCTAGAGTCAGGCATGACGCGGTATTCGGATAGTCGGAACGGAGAATGGTTACGGGCGCACTTTTCGGTGAATGTACTTCGGGGCTCTGGAAATATTCTTCTGTTGTAGGGATTACTGCTGCCGCTACGCTCAGGCAAGTTCAGAAGCACACCTCCGCTAAAGTAGTAAAGCGCTTGTGTGTCGCCAGATTAAAGTACGTAGGCGCACCTTAGAGTAACGTATGACTGTCACTTTTCTGCACTTCTGACGTGAGTATCTCGAAGTTTCACGAGTCCTCTCGTCGCGCGAATGTACGGGCCGGAGGATACCGCGCCCGAGGATATCGTTCGCCGAAAGAAGCGAGCTAGCGTCGAACACGAACCCGTTTTGCTTCTGGCGCTTTACAAGCAATAGGGAGTGTTCGTCCGTCACTGTTCCTCTTCTAAACGTCTGAAATGTTGAAAATGTGTCGATCCGCTAAAGAGTTTACAGCTTTGACGTACTTACTCCGAAAGTAACTCTATATCGACTTGCATAACATATATTTACTCTTTACGAACTAATACTTAATATATAATCAACTGTTAGTAACGAAACAATCTCTTTTCATGCGTAACATATAGTCCGTTTCTTCTTCATCGATAAGCGTCGATCACACGTTTTGCATCGGCTATAAAGCGTGATTAAATTATTCAAGTGGCAGTAGTACATCGTGGCATAGAAAATCAATGTTATGTAACTGGCGATGTGAAAATTGATTTTAAAACTCGTAATTTTTTATGTGAGTGCGTGAGATGAAGCACTGATACATTTTCAATTAAAAAATAATAAGGCTCATCCCTGAGCTTTAATTTATTTGTTACATAAGATATTTCGTTTCACATCGCCGCTGCTGTTATTTGTTATTGTTTTTGCGTGCGTGGGCGTATGTATGTGATATGCTGTTATAACGTGAATGAAGCATGTACACGTAAGCATGCATGAGAAGCACATATATATCACGTCGACCGATTCTCAGCGTCACCTTTTATTCGCACTGGATAATTATTATATTTGATAACAATGACAGGACGTGTAATTCTCAAAAGGGAAAGTTGGCTTAATTTTTGTACTACCTTATTTAACCGCATTAACTTCTCTCCTTGGGTCTCTTCTTTCTATCTAATCCCATATGACGCGAATCACACTTTTTATTAACTGTACGAAATAACATTTCCATTAAGGAGATTAATTTAGATTTGTTATTAATAGAATCTCTGCACATAAACTGCTTTTTTTTAGGCTTTATTAAGTATATCATAATTAATATGCTCCCTAATAATACCATATTTTTAAATAAATTTAGTTTTTTTTCTCTTTCTATTCGGTTCTAACTCGCTTGCGATATTCTCGTCAATCTTCCCATTTTCTCGCTGCCTGTACGAGACACATCAGTTTCAAATGATTTTCTATTTTATTTCAGAAATAAAAGCAAGGAAAAAGCATGCAGGTAAGAAATAATTCCTTTGGTGTCCGAGCGTTTTAGTAGAGACTAACTTAGCGCATGAGAAACAAGCTAAATAGACATTAACCCTAGAGCATTTATTAGTCTCCTATTTGTCAAACTTGTGGTTTTAATAACTCCGCTTACAATAGTATAGTATCAGTTTCAATAATTTTATAATATTCGAGGAGTAGAATTAATTAACATAGCAAAATATAGATTTTATAGATAGTTAGAGATATACGCGAGCCTGTCGATCGGCTATGTATTCTCCCGCTGTAAAAGTTACGTTGTAATAAGTAAGAGAACCGCAAGCACCGTAACAGAGCGATTGATTAAATATACAGAGAAAGATCTTGGTTTCCTACGAATTGGCTCGTTGAACGTTCGCGTGAAACGTACGACGGAAGCCTTCAGCCAGTTCCTGGGTGTGGCAACCAGCAGTACGGCTAGCAGCAACAACGAGAAGATTCATAAATCGTGGGGATCCGCGGATAACGTACAGGTATTATTCAAGGTCCAGGTCCTACTGGGTTCAGCGCATCTCGCAAACGCGTTGCACATTAGGATAATGCATGAATTCCATAACGAGGAATATATCCGGTTTCTTTGATTAATTCTGTGAAGATTAACAATAAATAACATGAGTTTCTACAAGATTATTAATTAAATATCCCGAATACATGCAGCTCTATCACCGATCTATTCGCAACTACACAAATCTAATAAAAAAATATATAATTACACAAATTTAATCGAAACAAATAGAATTGTATTACCGCCGATATGTAAAAGACAAATGCACACACGCTGGTTAATACAATAATCGATTAATAAAAGCATTCGGTGCCCCTTCTAATCTCTCGCATGTCTTTCGCTGCGACGTTTCTCGTCGCAAGCTGGAACAGAAGCTGATGCCGCCGCCGAGGTACGCGCCCATCAAGAAGCGCAGGAGCAGGCGTCCGCAGGACTTCGGCTCGTCGCAGGAACAGCAGCAGGTTGCCAGTCAGCCGACTACTCCGTTGCTGGAAGGTAAGATCAGCCGACCGAACCGGGCCGTTCAGCGTCGACCGATATCCACGACGTCGGTCAGCTCCAGTTCCATCGCCTCCGGTAGCCTTCAGCAGAACGATTCCGACTCCGACACGGCGTGCGGTTTCGATTCCGCGTGGCGAGGATCGGACCAGCTGTAACTAGTCTAATTCGTTATCCTAAATACCGTCGGCTTATGCTTATTCGATTGCACAAGGCGTAGGAAAGCTTCGATCAGAAGCTTCAGCGACAGTAGTTGAAGACTGCCTTTCCAGGTAGCAGAGTGACATTATATGACGTATTAATAACGCCCTAATGTCTCTAACGTCAATATGTCATTAAGACGTCTTTAGATGTCATCTGCCTGGGTTCTGGAAATTCTTTAAAATGGCGGCGGAACCGAGCCTACGTATATGATTTTCATATTGATTGCGCACACGTTAATGGTTTTTCAACACACGAAATGACATAAAAGATATTTTTTTGATTAAATTTGTAAACTTTCAGATTGTTCTATTTTGCAGGATTTAATTGTAAGAACACAAAAAGGCTGGTAATAAAGAGTGGATACTTCAAATATAGTTTCTTCAGTTTTTATCGCGTGATTCAAATCTCATTTTCTTCAATAAAATCATTAACTTATCTTCAATAAGTTCAGTTCATTATTGTTAAATAATTTTGCTTTTTTGATTAAAAAAATTATTTGATGTCGTATGTGATATTGTCACTCTTTCTTATTTCAGCCGAAATGCTCAAGCTTAATTTCAAATACATTTTGTACATAAAAATAAACGCATATTTCTTTGTATATTTATATTTTTATGTAGAAATATATTTTACAAGCTGCGGAGTGTAATTTAAAAATGTTTAATGTTGCGCTTACGTATCGTGTGAGGTATTTATAGGATAAATTTTTTTATACATACGTTTCAAGATATGTACGCAATTTTTAACTTTGCATTTAAGACATTGTTGTATATATTACGCTATCCGTATGTTGGCATCCTATATCTAAAATCTTTAGACACTTCGATGCTCATTGTATAATAAATCAATGCTTAAAAATTATTTTATTAAATAATGGAGAAAATTTTTCAACATATATTTAATAAGAAATTTTTAACCATTGTATCGTTAATAAGCATATAAGGCGACAATTATTTATATCCTACTTTGTACAATTTAAGCAATAAACATCACATTCGAGATTACATTGGAGTATTTTATCCACTCTAATTTCTCTAGAAAATATATACTTTAAAAGTATAACAGAGTAAAAATATGTATTTTAAAAAGACATAGGCACGAAAACAAAAATATATAATAAGAT